GATCTTCCAAAGTTCCATGATTTTGAACTTGTTCAGCCTCAGGACTTTCCATTTTTTCAATTTCATGCATTTTCTCACTCAAAGAAAGATTGTTTTCAGTAGCACTTTCTTCTTTTCTCTCTTGCACTTCATTTTCTCTCTCTTTCTTCACTAAGATTGCACTCTCTAAATCCTCCTTTTTCCCTTCAACAGAGTTATTACCATGTAAATCAACATCTGCATCATTACTGAAAGGAATCTGATCTCTGGAAGGTGCTTCAACAAAAACTTCACCCTCAGATTTATCCAGTATTCCAATAGCAATGGAGTGCAAGTTCTCATTTTTAGCCTTCTCATCGATGGTAATGCCTTCACCTGTTGCTGCTTCAGCTCCATAAGTTTGGCTTGGCCCAATTGTTTGAGAGTAATAAAAAACAACTGAAATTGGATTTTGATGTTCCTTCGAATCGATTACTTCCTTTTCTATGAATGAGCTTGGATTTTGTACATATCCTAAATCTCCTGATTGATGTTGCAACTTCTGAAAAAAAAGGATGGAAATGTTGCAGTTCCAGTTGTTACTATGAAACCAGGTTGCTCCAGTTGTTACTACGAATTAGGTAAAATAACAAGTTATATGTAGACATCACTGATATACAGTGGCATCTTTGTTTTCATTATTTGATATTTGGATAAACTATAACATAAGAATTAAAACTTAAACTGATGATTTATTATTTTCTAATGGTTTTTTTCTTACATGACTGTTAGTAAGATTGACATACTTGTCTATTCTTGTACAAAGAGGTGCAAGTGCATTGATATATGCAAACCACTCACACTGGGTGAAATAATTAAGCAATTTGGAGCTTAAGAGAGGAGTCACACAGATGGGTTTGACATTGCATATTATCCATATGACGCAATTCTATTTTGTCTTATGTAATTAATTTCTCTGTTGATGATCCACTGGCAGGCATTCATGGTAGAAGAATGCTACTACTGGACCAACAAACTTTGAAGTTTGAATTGTAGAACTATTTTTCTTTTCATCTGAATAGTGTGATGCCTTTCTGTAGCTCCATCCCTGCTACTTAAGAAAGTAGAAATAGAAAAGGAAAGAAATTTTGAACTGACTGCTTCCTCTTTCGATCCAACTTTGTAGATTTCTAGTTCCATCACATCAAACATTTGTTTTCATGTGCCCAACTTCGCCACTGTTTATTCTATTAATGATATTGTATTATCAGCATAAATTATTTGCAAAAGCACATGCAAAACATAAGAGAATTATGACTTGGTTGTGGTGTTATGCCCCAAGAGCAGATATATTCAACCGTATTGTGTGATCCTAATATAACTGCAACAAATGATCTGATTACTCGTTACCAATAAGTAAAATTAGTCTTTGATTTCTTTTTTGCATTTTTATAGTGGAAAATTGAATGAAGGTTTAAAAATCAACAACACATGCAAAATGAACATTTCTTGGCAAAATTTTGAACTACGGAAATTCAGAGAAATAGTTTTTCCATTTTCAGTTTTAACTCGCAAATATGGATATTGACAATTCAATCAGCAGTAAATTTAGTGTTATACTAAACCTATAAGTTGACTGCATATAGTTCAGATTCTGGTTCTTCTATTTCCTGTATTCTTTTGTGGCGCCAAGATCTGACTTCGATCAGGCACAACCGATAGATATCTGGACTCCATGTGTAATTAAAAATCACTTTTCACTATGAAAGTTCCATGAAATATTAGAATCAAGAACTAATTTTTGGTCTACTGTAGTGCTGAAAATCTGAAGTAGAACTATAAGTTTCCATCATTTATAATTCTTTTCATTTTCTTTTCTAAAGTTTTGAGCTTAGTGTCATGCACATGGGATGTAGGGCTGAAACTGAAGATTTCTTTTCCTTACCTCTTCTAGGATGGCTTCCTCCACTCCAGCTTCAGCTGCCATTGCATCAGCTCAGGAGGAATTTGGCTAGGGGAGCTTCTTCTTGGGAAAAGTATGGATGGGGCTCAAAAAGTAAGAGGCTTTTATACTCCTCCAGACTCTTCAACTTCTGTTGGCTGTGGTTCCAAATGCAACAGTGACATCTAATAATGCTGCTGCAGTTCATCAGTATAAAACCTCTACTTAGTTCCTGTTCATGCAGAAGCAATTGTTGCCTTTTATAATGCAAACTACCATGTTTCAAAAGTTTATTAGCAATGAGATGAAAACTATATCTTGCTGTTAGCCAGGTCATTGTTCTTTGAGATGCTCATGCTTGCTGTGGTGGGCTCTACAGCTACTCTTATTGAATGCTGTAGCAGCTCATGCTTGCTCTATTATTAGACATCATTTTGGCATGAGACTGTAAAATTGTTTTCGAGGGGTTTTCAGTAAAAACCTGTTGTTCTTGTTTTTAATTTGAGTCAGGTTGTTTTCATTTGTCAGTAATTTCAGTCAGCAAGGTTGAACATAAGAGTTGTTGCCAGAATTTGGTTGGATGAAGTTAATAGAAAAAGAAAAGAAAAAGAAGAAAAAGAGATAGTAGCCGCCTCCGAGGATAACAATGATGACAATGATGATGGAACCAATACAATAAAACCAAACAATTATGAAACTATGTTGAAGAATCTTATATTAGTCTATTTCAACCGGTCAGTGGTCGAATGAATTATTGCTGTTAATGTCTATTTTGATGGTTTTATTCATGTTTTATTCTAAATAAAAGAATCATGTCAGTAATCAAAAATACTATTCTGTATTAAATCCATTTTTCAAGGATTAAGTTTTCTTTTTTATCTACTAATTGAGGGTTTAATTTTTTACATCTGAAATATTGAAATCTTCTTATCGAAAATTTCCTCATACGATAAATCAACGGAATAATTTCATCTGTCAAATATTCAAACTGGATAATTATCATGTATTTTCACGGCTGGCATCCAACCTCAGATTACCATTGCCGATAACCGGCGGCGACATGTTGCTATCAGACGTGACCAAATCCTACGTGGTCTCTGTCGTCGATCGGCGGATTTAGAAGATCGAAAGCTCTGCGGAGAATTTTTCTGAGTGGAGTCTTACGCAACTCTAATGACAAATCCTCCTCGGTGTTCTACTTTTTCTTCTCTCCTTTTCCAGTGGATGGACTAATCGATCGATTGATGTTATACGTGACCCCGAATGCTCTCGATTTAACTACAGGTATTGTTTGATACGGAACTTAATAACAAGAAAACAATTCATGTAATCGATTCTAAATAGTCGAGATGTTAAAACTGAAATTTCTTTCCAGATTAATCGATGGATCTGTCTTTGTTGCTTAGTGTATTATTATATAGTTGATAAATAAAAATAATATGAGAAAAATGCACCGCCGTACTTTGGGCGGCTGAAGAACAGAGAGAGAGAGAGAGAGAGAGAGAGAATTGGGCAATTATAATCAAGAAACAAGAAGCATAAGTCCAAAGAACTATCAATGGTGGCACCGACCAGACTAAAGCTAAATTGTCAGCATCTGCCGCCTCCTCGCGTGATCAATCATGCGAGCGGAAGAAAGGAGTTGGCATGACGCTTGGAGAATATTTAGTGGAAAGGGAAGAAAGGTACAACCAACACAAAAGGTGATCACGCAAGAGGGAGAAGTAAACTAAGAGCGAGAGGAAGCACCAAAAATATTCATGAAGGAAAAAAGATTCATCTTTTCTCTAAAATAAGCTATCATTTCTAAAAAGAAAAGAGGAGCTGCTCTGACACAACTTTTCCTATATTAAGAGGATTTTTTTTCCGATAAATTGCTCCCAAAAAAAGACTACGGAGACTGTTGCCAGAATCTGAGGTGAATATAAGAAGCACCGTACAGATGAGCTGCCATTGGGAGATGGTGAAAGACATATATCCACACGCTCAATTATTTGCCAACTTGCATGGGCCCCATGCGTGTGCTTGCATGTGCGTGGGCACGTGGAATGCACACCTCATCAGGTGAAGATACATGTCAGAGACACAGGGAACATAATCTTGCAACAAAGCCATGAGATAACATTAATGCTTCAAGATTATGGTCGTAAGATACATAAAAGAAGTCCACTGCATGAGGCATCACCTTCTTCTTTCTATGGTACACTTTGATGCATTCTCCAATAAATAAACTACACAAAATTTCTTGTGTGCAGTATATCATTCTATTTTTTACCACTCAAATGGAGTAAAGTTGAGTTTGCAATGTACTCTTTGCATTAGTCTGACACGAACACAGAAAGATCATGACACAGCAAACCAAATATAGAACAGAACATGTGACGCAGCATGTTGCCTCACTAGCAACACAATAGATCCATGAAATTTATTTGGTTTATATAGCAGTGACAGCCTCACCAGACTTCTGGCAATGCAACAACATATAAAATGCATTTTGTCATGCTACATGCTAAAACTACACCCAACATTGGCGAGTTCATCAGCCTGGAGTCGAATAGATACTGACCGATATCTGAATCAGCACTGGTTCTTAGAAATTGGCAGTGGACAACATAGTTTCTGAACAGAGGCGTTGCGAAATAATACAATGTGGACAACATAGATCACAACATTGATGAGTAGCAGCCACAGCAATCCTAGAGATCTTGTTTCGAGCTTTCAGTTCAGCTTTTTCATATAGTTTTGTGATGGATTATTCTCCATTTTTTCATACAGGGCAATGTGGTTTGCATCTGTTGGTTTCGGCTGTTAAATTTGCATCTGTCAGAGACAAGTTTCTGGAACTCCCTGAGATTTTTACCTCAATAGCTGTGTTTGCTGATCAGGAAGGACAGGTGTTGATTTCTGTGGAATTAATTTCCCCATTTTGTTGTTGATGGAGCAGAGGTTTTCACTATAGAATGATCTCTCCCTCTAAGAAGAAGCATGCTCTGAACACACGCACACAGACCACCCATCAGAAGAACCACCACAAGATCCTCCCATGGATAAATCGTTGCAGCAAACAGAGAGCCCAAAGGACTCAATTCCTTCAGGACAGCTGATCTTGTTTGAAGAGCTTAGAGATAGACTGGAACCATACTCTGTCAGAGATCTTCCTAGAGAGTTGGTACAAAAAACTGAAGATGAAGGACCTTTGAAAACTGGAACCATACTGTCAGAGATCTTCCTTCAGGCCAGCTGCTCCTTGAAGATGAAGGACCTTTGAAAACTGAAGATGGAGATGAAGGCACAAAAAACTGCCTGCCTGTCATCTGAAGCACTTCCTAAGCATGATCATTTCATGGAACCCTTGTACAATGCAAGAAAATAGAATAAAGAAAACAATAATAGTCTGCTCACTAAAAGATATATCGTAAGACGAATTTCCAGCTTAACCTAACGGACATATCACTTTCATTGGATTGATCTGCTAGATGAACAAAATACAAAATATGCATAAAATGTGAAAAGAAATTTCAAAAGAAATGCTACATGCAGCACAAAAACATCAATGGACAATTACTGATGGTAACTTATAGTCATTATCTTCCACTTGAGAGCACGATATGGATTTACTTGCTTCAACAAAAACAGCTCAATCATCAATGCCTTGGATATCATGCATTATTGAGTATATTAGTTGGTTTATGATAGGATAGATGAAAAGAGGGAGAGCTAATTTTCAACAATAATTATGTTGCGACAGAAAAATAACAATCAACAACATAAACCTCAAGGGCTTACAAGCATGTCTATGTATAGGTTACTGGTACCTAGATCATTCACAAAGTAGCTGAAAACAATAATAAAAAATGTCAAATACATTATGCTTCTGTTGTCCTATATTAACTAGGATTGAATTCCAGAGGGAATCCGAGGACATACAAATGGACTTTCTGTACTGCTATTTCGTAATAACCCATCTGTTACATAAAGGAGCTGAAAATAATAATCAAATAGGTCTAGTATGCCGTGTTTCTACATTATATAGGGACAAATCCTAGAAGGAACCCTAAAGACTTAAATATGAGCTTTGTGTAATGCTATTTTGTACGGTCCATGCAAATGGTTTTTGCATGCAGACAGAATAAAGATCATCAGCCCTGGTTTTGCTAAGGTAAGGAAGGACTATTGAATCTTTTCCTATCTCATCTGGGCTGCTTTCTTTATTGAATGGGATTTCTACACACATGGGCCTCGGTTAAGACTCCTTAAAGTTGGTTGACATCACAAGAATCTTGGAGTGCTCCTATGGCCCCCCATCTTTTAAAGCAGGATGGACCCTTGTCTTGATAGGTGCTCAGGTCTGAACAAAGTCCAATTCACTCATATCAATTTCACAGCCCTTAGATCCAACTTGTCCCCAGTGTATATCACAGTATTTTCATGTGTTATCTTTACTTTTTTCTTACATGCGGAGAGGAGAACGATGCTGCTGACCATGCTCATTAAAAGATGGAATGCGCTAGTCCGCCGGCACGTATAGCACAACTTACCCGAATTTAGGCAAACTCCCTCCCCCAGAATCTATGATAAGCTAAATCAGAGACACACCATCTTAAAAATCAGATCTTTTCCCTTTAATTCCGAATCGGAAGCGACTAAACGAAACCCAACAACAGATTGGCGGCGAAGCAACGATACGAGACGGAAGAATACCAGATAGAAAGAATCACGACGTTTAGATGCGGGCGAAGAGAGAATCCAACTCCCGCCGCCGCCACGAACGCGATCAGGCAGCAGAAAATGGCAGAAAGATCCATCTTTCTTCTCTTCCATTCTCTCTTCGCTCCATTGTCGTCGTCATCGTCTTTCCAGGGTTTTTCTTCCGCGGAGAGAGAGACGAGTTGCAGATACCAAATCCGATCCCCATTGTATTGGGGGCCTCACATCAATAACAGCCTGCCCATCCGTTTCGCTTATATGGCCCACCAAATCTAACCAAACCCAAAGCCGGGATGGATGCGGGTCACAAGTTGAGCCCGATCACTAATTTGTTGAACATAAGACGGACGAATTCCGTTAAGTAGCCCAAGAATTGGCCTGTTGGGCCGTCACGGCGTCCAAACTGCCACAACGGATCGATCTCCCCGATTGAGGAGGCATTCCAAGTAATAAACATCCCGTCATCTTTCCGGTCCCCATTCTTTATCGTCTTCTTTCTTCCTCGCTGTTTTCGGCTGCATACTGAGAAGCTTTATCCTCCTCCTTCGCGAATCTCGATCTTTCTTCTTTCATTTCTTCGCGTAGTTTGGTTAATCTTCCTGAATCGGATCCATATTCTTTGACTCACTAGTGGAAGACAGGAAGGTAGGGTGCGTTTGGCACCTTTAGCGTCTTCCCATCGTTCCTCTCTGTCCTTCCTCTCCTCTTTTGCCTTGATGTTTCTTCTCCTTGATAACCTATCGGTATTAATAGGGCAATCCTTTGCTTGCAAAGGGATGAAAAGGGGAGCTGGACGCACTCGCCCTCGCCTACTTACTCTGACTGAGGTCACCTACTACTTACTCTATGCACAACCAATTACGACAGAGCGAGAAAGAGAGGAGGAAGAGGAAGCTTGCAGCGATACTGGACGTCCCCTGAACACGTAGTATGATATAACGTATAGGAATCATACATGCCATTTCTATCATCAGACATGCTCGAAGCTTGCAGTATTACCAGAAGCAACATCTACATTAGTTAAGAGGCACCACCTCCCTCTCTACTACCACTTGTACCACTAGTTCATGTCCACCTATGGTGAGAATGATGTATTGAACACCAGAACAGACCATTCAACTCACAAGTTGGCGTAGCAGCAGTCCTGGAATCTGTCGGCCGAGGCCACAATGGGCAGCTGGTTCACCACCATCGAGCCCCATGCCGCCGTGAAGCCGTCGGGGGTCTGCAAGCTGTTGCAGCTGCTTCCACCCATGAAGTAGGCGAGCTCACTCAGGGACTCCAGCCTGGAGCTCAACTCCGTCAGCTGCGTCCTCAGCAGGGAGTTCTCAGCTTCCACACCCGCGTAGTGCTGGGTGGTGATGTTGAGGGCGATGAGGATCTGGCTGTTCTCTTTCTGCAGCTGGCTAACCTGCGCCTTCAGATCGTCCATATGCTTCTGCTTCCTCATCCGGGATCGCCGCGCCGACTCCCGGTTCGACAGCATCCTCTTCAGCTTCCTCTGGTTGATCAAAGCCTGCACGTCCTGCTCGGATCCAGAATTGGCTACTTGGCTGGATCCAGAAGAAACTACACTAGCACAAGCCATCATGTTCACAAAAGATATGAACTGCAGTAGTGATCAAGAAGGTGCTATATCATATATGAATACTACAGATCCTGTTCCGGATCGTAAGTATATAGGAGAGATTTTAAGCGGCTAGGGGAGTATGTAGGAATATAGGGGCTCCGGTATCAGAACAAGTTCATGAGAAAACATAGAACCAGTAGAGGAACACCACGGAGAAGGATTGAACCATTTGTGTCCTGCGCCTCAATGTGGAACTTATCATAAACCCGGAGAGGAAGATTTCACTCAGTATTGGCGACATGGATGAGAAACGCAAGGAGGATATGGAGCTGCATGTGAGGAAGAAGGGAAGAAAACCGAAAGAACAGACGGCAGAAACTAAAAGGAGGGATCTTTCGGACAAAGATTGGTGAGAAACAAAGAGGAAAACGAGATTCTGAAGCTGGTCACGGATAAAATATGAGATCTTGGCCGGAAAAGCTCAAGAGAGACGCGAGCAGATGAAGAACTCGAACGACTCCTTCGGAGGGCCAAAGGAGGGAGCTTTCCACTTCTGGAAGCAAAATGAAGCTGTCGAGCAGCAGAGGACAGAACAGAACAGAGCAGCAGAAGTCTCACACGAGACTACCGAAGGGAGAGGGAAAAGGGCAGATATGGGAAGCAAGAAGGTGAGCGGCAACCAGAAGGACAAGGGTAGGAGGGGAAGAGTTCCTCGGACAGGGGGTGATTTATAGGAGAAGAAGAAGAGGAAAGGCGGGCGGGAAACCAACAGAGAAACGTAGGAAACTGCGAGGGGCAGTAGGAGCCAGGTTTTGGTATCTCCTGCAGCGAGCCGGGCGGCGAGTCATCATCTTCCACAGGAATCCAACTCCACCATGGCCACAAAATTCTTGGGACCTGTTGAAAAGATTTTTCTGTTTTGAATCATTCCTTAGCTTATTATACATCCACTTGATCAAATGTCTTTTACATTATATATAATTTCGTAAGGTCAGATCGAGATCGTCGGTCCAATGCGGATAATACAAATTTATCTTATTTATTTTTTCTTGTGTGAAAATACATCCGAAATATATATTATAATATCCTGAATCCCGTCTTTACTATTTATCTTTTGCGAGAAAAAAAAATCATGAATTTTATTATCATACAAAAAATTATTATTTTTAGAATTTATAAATTTAATAATTTATTTTTAACTAAGAGTAAAAAGGTGAAGATGAGATTTTAAATCTAGACAATCTATAAAAATTTTACTAACTAGGCTAGCTAATAAGCACCTTTAGTTTATTATTATTTTTATATAAAATATAAATTTTCTTGTGTTAAGTCCACACAATAAGTTTGCAATTTTATTGTGTGAAATCAGCATATGAAAATTTATACTATGTAAATTTATAAAAATCTGTGGTGTGTCAATTTAGAAATGAAATTGGTTTATTTTTTCCATTAAAAATATTTAAGTTTATTTGATTAACATCTTTATTATATTTTTATTAAATAAAAAATTATTTAGAATCGAATATTGAGTGTTCGAAGTTTCGACTAACATATTTTAATACTCTAAACATTGGTTTGGTGGCGATGTATCTGACGATTTTATCAAATATTATATATTTAAAATATCATTTAATATATTTTTATATATTAAATATTATGTGAAATTTTTACGAAGGATTTGAAATCTCATTCGATATATTTTATACCAGACTCTTTTACTAAAGATTAAGGATTTAAAATATCATCTAATATTTTTTAAAGATATCAAAGATAAAGATCTTGATGATTTATCATAAAGTTCTAGAATTGAATCTCACGGCCATCACTTAAACTTTGAGAAAAAAAAAAACATCATCTCAATTACACTTTATTCACATTCTTAGAAATAGATATGCCTAATTATTAGCATAATGATTCCTTTACTACTAGAGCAACAAGAACCGCCCATTGGAAAGATAAAGCTGGTGGTGTTCTTTTTTCTATTAGAGTTACACTTTATTAGATTTGGAGAAACTTCATGCTTTCATCCAAACCAAGCACGAGGAAAAGATTGCCTTCTCGAGAACTGGATTCCTCTTTAACCACTTCCTCACACCCAAACATGCCGTCAAAATAGAGTAAAATGCCTTTGATATGAAATCAAACTTGAAAATTCACAGATATATATATAATGTATAGTATTTTCTTGATTTATTTGTTTCATAACAAATTTTCTATTATTTTAGAAATTAAATTTATATTATATATATACAATTAGTTGAAACTAAAAGCATTAAAGATACTTGTCAATATTTTATGTTTTTAAATTTAAATAAAACTAATGTTAATCATGACTAAAAGTGGTCCATCTGGTTGTTTATGTTTATATCCTAATAATTAAAAGTATATATATGCTATAAAAAATGCTATTTCTAAGCTTTGCAAGGATATTTATACATGTACAAAAGCTTTTTTTAATTTAAAAAAAATGTCTAACTAATGTTATGTTATGTAATGTTTGAATGAAAATAATAAATTAGGAAGAAAAAAAATAAAGGTTTGTGTGTATGAGCTCAACTTTTGGCTCTGAAAGGGGGTATCTAAAATGGCTGGCTGGGAATGAATGAGGTCCCACCATGATGTATCCCAAGCAATATATAGCATGCTGTATTCCAAAGCTGTTCAAGTCTGGTGGCACAATGTCATCTCCTAAGAGCAAGAAGATGACAAGATAGTATTAGATACTTATGGTCCCTGGCATCCATGAATTCTCCCATAGTGTGGAATTGGGTGCTTCTTCAGCAAACCTCATCATCTTGCCTTTTGTGATGAGACTTTTAGTGGTACCAGTAGCAGTAGTAGCCAGTTATGATATATACCTATGCATGTATTAGTTAAGAGAATAAGAATTGCTTGCATTGCTATAAAGAAAAAATTCAGATCAAAAAGAGGTTTTAGATCTATCAATTATTGATAATCCAAAACAAATGTCCTGAAGTCTCTCTTGGAGTTAGAGAGAGCCATTTTCAAAGGTGAAAATGAAAAATGCAAGGCTGCCATCCTAAGTTGGATATGGTTGTCCTGTCACATTTGGAAAGGGCAATCTGAATTCAACAAAAAATAATAAGATATAATATGCATGTGCCTTGGGAAAAGTTCATCCACAAAAAATTATTATGATAAGGTGTTTATTTGACTGGGATCTGAGGCATGTATGGATGTGAACATGAGATTGATTGGATATATCATAATTAAGTAATCAAGCCACTGACTCAAACCAATCAATCATATTTCTTGGATAGAAAAGCATACAACAAATGTAGAAAGAAGGGAATAATTATACATACAAAAATCTATTTCATTCTTTTATTATCCCAGCATAGATGATTTAACACTGTGAATAGGTGGTAAGATTTGGATGGATACAAAAGAGTGAATATATTGGTGACGATGCATATTAAAAATGGTTTCGAAATATATGGAGCCCATTCATTCCTTGATCGCATTCCATGTATGCTGAATTTGGCTGATGCAAAGGGAAAGGCAATCCGTAAACCATAGAGGATATTAAGCTGTTTGGCTTTAACTATTTGTCTAAAGTGGAATAAACTTTCTATTCCATCTTTATCTTTTTTATTGCTCATTCGAGGTGCTCTTACATTCTTGAGTACTAAAAGCTTTATTCTTTAGAACACTAGCCATTTGATGATTTTGGTCAATATAAGCATCAGATCCTTCACAGTCTTTTCAACCATCTAACGCACTCATGTATAAAGGATTGTGTGATGTGTAGAAATCATTTTTCTAAGATGGAAATTATTTCTGGTTCACTATGAATCAAGTGCCCATCAAGTTGGCATTTGGAGATTGCCGGAGTATTCGGCATTGCAGGAAGTTGGTGCATGCAATGCGCCGTTGAAATGAAATATGGTCGATGGATTTCGGTGTGAATATGGTCGATGGATAGATAGGTAGGCTGCAGCTTTTAACTGTCGAGTTGCACTGTCAAATGCCTACTCGATGAATGGAGAAGAAGACGAGGAGCAGAGGAAACAAACCAAGAGAGCTCAAAGATTCGAAGGCCGCCGAGGCACTCGAGAGCCTGGAGGACCCAAATGGCAACTTGGGTACGCGGTAGTTGTCAGACTTTGACGCTGAATTCTACAGAGGAAGCTTCCTCAAGACTTCCACCTGTTACTAAGCCTGGGAATATGTTGTCGATCTTGGATTGGAATCTTAGCAGGAAAAAGAAAGGAAGAAAACGGAAAAGAAACCTCCACCATTCAAACATCCGGGAATCCTTAATCTGTCTGGTTGAAGTTTAAGCTAAACCAAGCTCACAGAATTCAGCTCCAAACCATCGCTGTTCAGCCGAGGTTTTGGTTCTGAACGAACAGGGACCAAAACCGGTATCTGGTGCAAGAAGATAAAGTCGGGAGAAAGCTTGGGACACCGAAATGAAATGTCAAGAGGAGGGAAAGGATGCAAAGGTCTTCCAATGGAAGTCGAGCATTTTCGAGAGGAACTGCAGCACATTGTGCAAGTTTGAGGATTGTGCGACATGGACATGGCGATTGTGGTCCTCAGATTTCCTGACACACACCCATGCCGGAACAAGTGGCGTAATGGAGGTGATGAGATGCATATTCCTCCATCACCAATTAGCCACCTGCGTTTTCGAGGACGGGGAAGCAACTGGATGCCAACACCTAGTGCGGTGTGGGAAGAGCGTACCCTAATGCTTCTCTCATGTCCTATCCGAGCTTAGATTAATGGAGGAAGAAAGATGAACAAAAGTATTTGCGGAAAAGGTTTGGTTTGTGAGTGACCGAATATATTCCTTTACATTTATTCGCTTCACATCTGCATTTATTCTGCAAATTTGATGCACGAGTTGATTGATTAATTAGAAAGCCAAAAAATGGAAGGAAAATGAGTCCTCCTGCTTGCACAGTAACAAAAAATGGAGATGGCTGCAGGCAAAGCCTGTGAAGAGTGATGATGATGATAAGGTGGTGATAGAGGGAGAGAGAGAGAGAGAGAGGGTGGTTGCAGATCTCAAGGATACCTTTTACGTATCATAGATTTGTGTTTGGCTACATCGATCGATGTCGTACTCAACCCCAAGCTGGATGCTGACAAGCTGTGATGGGGCAAAAACACCGCATGAGCTGAGCACTTCACACGCCCGCCACCACCACTACAAACTCTATTGCTTCTTCTTCCTTTTTCTTTCTGGAGCTACTAATTATCTCGACCATCTCCGCTGCAGTGAAGAAATCTGGCACTTGTTCTTGACAACTGGCCAAACTCAGAGGAGAAATCCTCTGCATTCATCATGAAGAAATGTTCTGCACATAAAATGAGCACTATATGCATACCAACTTCCTTGAATCATCAGTTTCAAGATTGAAACATCGCCAGCTGATGACATCCTCATATTAAGTGTGGTGTGATGTGATGATGTTCTTTCTTCTTCCTCGGAAAAGAAAATACTCTGCTCGACTGCCATTACCAGATATCCATCCACCGCCACATATCTTTGAGCATTAGCAACCACCACTTCCCCAGCTTTCACCCTCCATGATCTGAAGCTGCTTTATGTGGTGGTGGGTTGGGTGCAGAAAGTGGTGCATATGCCTAAAGAAGGGCGCAAGCCACAACTTTTCATCCCCCACGCCACGAGCAGTTCAAGTAATTTCCCCATGAGAAGAGAATTCGGGGAATGCAGGAGAAGACATCTTATAGCAAAGCGCGCGTGCTTATCTCATTGTTGCAGATATACGCCAATCTACTTCCTAAGGAAGTGAATGAATCCACAATCAAGTACAGATAGAAAACTGTCGCATGTGTCAGATGGCACTCATCATGATACTTCGCTGCAAATTGGGTCGAGTGCAGGCCTCATCTCCGAGCAGTACCGCACTGTGTGCAAGCCCCCCTCATCATGCAATTTGTGTGCAATGCTATTGGGATGGTGTCTTTAACATGATGCATTCCGACCACACACACAAAAGAGAAGGAATTGTTTTCTATGTACAAGAGAGAAAGAAAATAGATGTAGCACTTCAGAGTTAATTCACACGAAAGCAACTGCGAATAATCGGTGTCTACGGAAGGCTGCGAATAATCTGTCGATGATACATTGAGGTTGATCACTGTACTACAGAAAAAAGGAGATGCAAATGATGCCCTTTATTAAGTTTCAAGGTAGTTAATGACAAGCAACACTCGGTTCAACTGTGTGATATCGGAGGAGTCGTGATTTATACAGTCAACTCAAGCTTTGGATCAGTTTAGCAAGCCCAAAACAAAATAAATTGTACATGGTGACAAGAATCTCCACCTGGATCAAATGCACAGCTTTAATTCAGACGACCAGACTTTTTCTTTCCATCTCTTGAGTACCAGCAAAATGGATTCTGCAGTCGAGAAAAAAGAGTGCATCAAGAGAGAGGTGAAAGAGTCCTTAGCAAAAGAAAAAATGTAGCTAATAGCTTCAAAATTCAGGTATCGTCCAATGTCATCTTTGAATAAAAATTGCGTTAGAAACCAGAATCAGATTATACTGTCGTAGGGCTAGTAACGGCATTAGGCATCATTGGGATGAAGGTGAAGTTAGTTGGGTATTTGCAAGACACAATGCATGTCTTCTAGACGAGAAGATATGTGAATACGTCTCATCATCGATCATACAGTTCCAAGGGAAATAAACTTCCTGAAAAATCGAAGCTGAGTGGTTGTTCCCACCCTGCTTAAAAGACTGAAAAAGTGAAATAAAAAATCTAAGGCAACTTACAAGCTTGTTCTTCCTTTTCTTTTTCTTATCAATATAAGCAAGAATCTCCTGCTGTTGCACCAGAGCATCTTCCAGAGCCTGCAAAACATAGCAGCTTTTAGAGCCACATAGCCTTTGATCATACAAGAATTGCAAAGTGATAAGGAGGATATATTGAGATGCTTAAGTCATTCGTCTAAAAAGAAACCGGTAAACAGCTGAAGCTAACAAAAGCTCAAGTAGTATGCTTACCTTTGCCCTCACAGAAACAAAGGGGTTATTTTTCATTGGCACTGAACAACACCTGCTTCAATGTTCTAGGATCCTATATAACTGACTTCACATCCTAGGATTATTTGTCTAGGCAAACATCATATGGATCCAACCAAAATGAAATCCAACTGAAAGTTGTAATTCCTTTTGAGCTGAGTTTCAAAACCCAGCCTTGTTAGAATATATTTACCAAACAGAAAAATGTAATAAAATCAGAGTTTGTAGATTTCTGGAAGTGAATGCCGTTAAGCATAATCTACGGAAACTAATTTTATGAAGCTGTACAAGACTATAATACAAACAATCTGAGTAAAATACCTCTTTATCAGTAGCAAAGAGCACAAACTCAGTTTGAACCACTATCGGTGTTCTTTGGCATTGAAACTACAGCTACAACCACCGCGTATCAGCACATCAGAATATGTTTAACACTTTTATTTAATACTTGTACCTAAGCAATACCAACGATTTACACAATCCCTAAACAATATTGCTTAATATTGGTTTCGATGACCTGCCAAATCAGTATGATACCAGTAAACTAGACGGCATGCTAACCTGACCATTTTGGTATCATTAAGTAAACAAATAAAATAAAATTGAATGGATTATAAAATATTCAGTCATATGTTTCAACAATGATATTTGGTTGAACCACTAAATAGTGTCCTTACAAATGGAACGACCAAAATTTGAAATCTTGAACAAAAATGTAATTGAGGCTGTTACCTTCTTTGTTGCTGCAAGCTCTGCCTCCAAAGCATCCACACGCATCACAGCAGCATTCAACATCTCTTCCTTCTCAGGTGCCATCTCTGCAGGCTTCGTGCTGAGAACGCTCACTTTCTCTTCAAGCTCACCCAGGCGCTTCAATACAGAGGAGAATTCAGCAGCTGAGACAGTTGGTGCAGGCAGCTGGCTTTGATGCATTTGGCCTTTAAGCATTGGGATTGCATCGTTGATATCTGCATTGGCAATCTTCCTTGGCGTGGCACGACCTACACGCATCATGGTGACAATTCCCATGACAAAGGCCATGACTCCAGACACTATCTGGTTGCTGAATCCATCTGGACCGTTGTAAGTTCCAGATAGAGCATAAGAACCTGCAATAATGGTGGATTACGATTGAAATATTGATAATATTGCATAATAGCAATGAACTTTTAATCAATTGAAACCTAAACTTTTCAAAGATATATCGGCTAAGGAGGATATGGACCATTAGGGATGGCAAGCTTTTCATCTGGCACTTTGTTGGAGCTGGCATCCACAGCCTTGTCCACAATTGGAACATAATCATCATTGGAATAGGGGGTGGGGAATTTCTCAGGAGCAGTCTGCACATATAAATTCTTGTTAAAAAAATAAGTGTTAGCACAGTAGCAAGTGACTCAAACCACTTAAAAATTATGAGGATGAAAGAACCTGCAAAATTAACCCATTTGTGACTTCTGATTTCTTATATTCCTGAATTTAGGAAATCTTTAATACTTCAGTGGAAAGAAGTAAACCTTTCAGGGTTTCACTTCCTATTGAAATATAAGGTAAGTCTCAATAAGTGAAAAATTGACGAATCCAATAATTTTAAGGAGTTGGTAGAAGGTAGATTCACTTTTTCATTATGAAGTTCCACTTTTCCTTAAAGATGTCATTTTACATAGCTTTCCTCTCTAAATCAATGCAATAAACAACCCAGAAGAATGACTTGCTCCATGATATAAAGTGCATACATGCTTGTTAATCAGAACAATCATATAGAAGTTACCATCAACATCATCTGCTAAATCCAAGAGGGATATTACTTCTACATGCTTGTTAATCAGAACAATCATATAGAAGTTACCATCAACATCATCTGCTAAATCCAAGAGGGATATTACTTCTGCTCTAGGTTAAGTCACTAAATAAAGATGGATAAACATATTCTTTTCTAATGACATAATTGATAAATGAATCATAAAGTAAATGGAAATATGGTCAAACCGGATTAAAGATTAAACAAGAGCATTACTTTTTAGTTGCATACACTACTTTCAACGTTGCAATACTTATGGTTGGCTAGAAATTACCTGCAAGTCTGAACTGTCTTCTTCTTCTCGAACAGGTGACATATGTGGGTGCTCTATAACACTTCTCAGGATATTGGGAGAAACAGAATACATGTCATCAACAGCAAGGATGGTTTCCTTGCAGAAAGAGTCTTGCTTCTTCATGTTGGGGATACATGAATTAGTATCATGAAGTTCTAGTGAACACAAAGAACTCATAAGCAAAGCATAGGAAGAAAATATGATTAGTTTACCACCTTTGGATACACTACTTCATCCTCGGAAATCGTCTTTTCCTCAGTACCAGTAGCCAGATGTTGCGATCCACAGCTTCCCACACCACTTTGAACCATCTACTAGGTTAATGTATCAAGTATGCACATTGATGTTTAAATGATGCCAAAGTTCTAATTTTAAATTTCGAGTAGAAATCATGTCAAGGGTTACAATAATTTTGAGCATAAATTAAGAGCAAAAGTGAAGAGGAAACAACCACCTTTAAGATTTCAGGATCCTTCCATGGGCCTTTATCTGAGTGAAGACAGCCTCCTTCACAGTTGCAAGTGCCACCAAGGAACTCAGGCAATTCACTTGTAAAATCCCATAAATTAATTAGGAAATCTTTTAATTCATTTCACTATTTTTATGCTGAAAGTTTATTTCATTACTCAAAAGCTGATTTGGTCATTGTTCATTGAATTTATAATTGTGCAAGATGAAAAAGAAAATATTGGGCTACCAAAGATACCTTGCATCAATCACTTCAAGCAATTTGCTTTGGTACTTATTTCCTAGAACCTGAAAATAAGACCTCATCAGATACCCAAGTACTTGTACTGTTTGCATTCCGTATAGGGACAGAAAACTTACATGGATTTTTGCAGTGGTCTTCGGATCAAGAAAGGACTTTACAGTGTTCCAAAGCAGCCTAAAGCCTGAGCCTGCATTAATGATGAACATGCGACACAAGGTCTGGGATAGGAAAAACAGTTACAATAATTATCATTGTAAATGCCATTGATGATTGGAAGTACGAACTTCAAGTGGCTCAAGTGAGGAAGATACCTCAGGATAATTGTCACCATCAATTTTCTGAATACGGCTGATTAATTCTCTTGCAGCCTTGGTGAATTGTTTACACCCCTAATTTTATTAGATTAGAGGAAAGAAAAAGGAACAACCAAGTAAAAGTTAGAATTCTTCCTAATAAATAGGAAGTATACTTGATCTATTATGCAGAGGCTGCAAGCATGTTTTTCTTTTTACTTTTTGAAAAAAGGAGAATTTTGGTGGCTTTGAAAAGGTAAATGAGGCCATACGTACCACTCCTTGAACATCAATAATAGTTGTGCTCTGGTCAATATGCCGTTTTGCTGCAATTGAGCAAGCTGGAAACTTGACAACGAAGCTCCTCTCAAACTCCTTCACATGGTATTTAACATAACGATCCATGGTTGTGACTTGCATCAGCTTGTTGGCATCAACTTGACCCAACCTTTCAATATAGACTGGCCTGCCTTCCTTATCTACTCCATGATGACCTTGTGGGTAGTATTCCATTACATCATTAAGTTCCTTGAAATCAAAATCCTAATAAACAATAGAAAGAGGGAAAAGAGAGTCATGGGGCAGCACTATTAACGGTAAACAAGTAACAGATTTCTTTAGAAATATAGTCTGATAACCAATGAACAGTGATTGACAAAGTAGAAATCTGATGAGTGCACTTGATAGTTCAACGTTGCTTTACAGGTTCCTGGAGTTCTGTCTATTAGAAAAGGTTCCATTTTGAGAACTGTTCGGAGCAAAATTATGACTTCTAGTTTCCTTTTTCTCATGATGCTGGAGTTCAGAATAGTTCCCAGCTTCCATACTTCACATGTATGACACACTTATCTTTCATGTCTTCCATACTTAAATTTTTATTTTTGGACATGGTATTGGCAGAAAGTACTGAAGGAAAGTAGTAGTCGTATCAGCTAAGATCACTTTCTCTAAAATACGAATATCAAACTCTTGTCGAACATTTTGTCTAGTAGCAGAAGAAAAATCTTACGTCCAAGATTGTGTCAGCTCCAAATTCCTTCCTCCATTGGAGCATATCTGCCCACATTTGCTTTGTTTTCTCGATGTCAAATTTCCTGGCCTTCAGAAATCTGCATCAGAGACTATATGCAAATCAGAATTGGTTCATTCTTATACCAGCATGCATGAAATAGAAAAAGCCTTAATGGACTAGCCTCCAAAGTAATTGCTTTCAATTGCCAGTTCCAGTTACTCATGAAGGAAAGAATTTGAAACATAGTTAAGCTAGATGTCAAAATATGCAATTCATACTAATATGTGTAAGTGAATAACCTGAGCATCGTATGATAATCATCATGCCTAGAAGGAAGCAGCTCTTCCAGAATAAGGATCTGGCGGAAGGCATCAACAGCCTGCATTTCTTCGGCATCACGCACATCCTCAATGGCGACAGACATGACCTTGCTGCTTCTCCTACCCCTTTTGATCAAAGAATGCCTGAACTTTGTGGAGGCATTGATTGCCTTCTTCTTTAGAGACTCAATCCTGGTTCTCCTCTCATCCTCAGAAATCTCAGCATCAGATTTTCTGTCGCGCTTTTCGTCATGGAAACCATCAAGACCTGAAAACAGATACCAACATATGATAAATCTATCAGCGAAGAATTTTCCCAGATGTACAAAAAGATCTATCAGCCAAAAGGAAATCTACTGTAATGGTTTCATGTTACTGGATTTTGACTGTCTATTCAAGCATTACTCTTCTGCCATCCACAATTAACTACCATTAACAAATACCAGGATGATTCCTGATGCAAAAAAATAGACTGACCCTTTACCATGATTTCATAATTTTGTGTCCCACTATCCTAGAGACCTTTCTTAAAGCAAAGAAAAAGGGAAGACAAAACTAACATTTTTTCGGTTATAGATCTCTCTAGATATGCTTAATTCACTGATTCCAAACTGCATTTTATCTTTGATGCAGGCTAATCATATACCTTGCACATTGTGTAGCAAATTCCAAATATTCAGAACAGAGAATGAACTACTATTATCTAAGAAAAACAAAATGCTTTGTTTCACAAGAAAAAAATGTTGAGCTGATAGTTGATAAGTGCAAAGAAAATCTATTAAAGTCTAATTTTCTTATTGAATCTCAACAATGATGGAGGTAATCGGTTAGATTGTCAATTTCTAATTCTTTGCCGATGATCATAAACAATTTTTGACTAAAACTACAAATTGAAGACGAGAAAGATCATATCTTGTGCATACCAGATTTGGGAAACTGGTCGAGTGGTCCTGACATTATTTCGGTCATGGTTGATGCTTGCAAACTGGACCTGGCTAAAGACAACAAGGGGGTGGAGAATCAAGAACTCATATCAAGGATACCAGGACGCACTCCTCTCCGATCACCTGGGATACACATATCATTAGCAACAAACGGTAAAGGTCTCTCTGAGGGAAGGATGCCACATTACATTTGGAGATGCACATAGTTAGATGAAAAAAGCGATCTAAAGCCAAAAGTTGAATTTTGCTTCTGAGTGCAACATCAACATTAGGAATCGATAGATCTTTTTGCGCATTTTTCCCCTTCATTTTGCGTAAAACAATATCTCATATTAGAAATCATTTGAAATACAAGGTATAAACTCGAAGCATTAGTAAATGGAACCCCGACCAAGAATAATACCAAGCACCAGAAAAAAGATAGCATAACACATGATCATTGCAAGTTCTTCAACTGTAACAAGTGGATTTTCTTCGGCATCGAAAAGGGGCAACAATCAGAGAAACGCAATGAGGATACTCGGAAGACCTTCGGCTGTTCCAAAAAAGAAACAAGAGGACGAGGAAGAGAACCTAAAACTATTCGGGAAGCGGACGAACTTGTGATCGATGAATAGAATGCAGCAGAAGCCTAGGGAGGCGAGGAAGAAGTTTTACCTCGATAACCGACTCGGCGTTCAGAGTGGGGGGAGGTGGGAAGAGGAAGGGGTTGAGCAGTTTTAAAATGACCCTGCGCTGCGCTGAGAGGGGATGGCGAGAGTTTCACGTCGGCAAGAACGCGATTGCAAGCTGTTTGAGGGAGACAGGCATTGCCGCTCTCATTTTTGTAAGGCGTTGACGAGGTCTGTGGCTCTCTCTCCCTCTCTCTCTGTCGCTCGCTCGCTCCGTGTTGCGGAGGGGGAAGAACGCGAGAGAGAGAGAGAGAGAGAGAGCATGTCGGCCTAAATGCAAGCCACTCCGTTCTTTCTGTTGCTATTATAAATCCTTTGATGATATCTTCGTTGATTTCTTTCAATAGTCAACGAACCCAATTCCACCGGTTTGGACGACGATAGAATTAATCAACTATTGCAACTAAATCATGTCTCTTTGGATCTATCTCAAATTAGATTTCTTTTTTAGCTCAAAGAACTCGTTGATCGGCATCCGAACTCATCCCAAAACAAATAATTTGGTATCATTTGATTGCGTCGAGACTGAATGCTCGACGTCAGAGAAGTCGTTGTAGCAATGAACCCAACGGTAGGGCTGTTAGTGGCAGACTCGAGTCCACTGCTGTTTGCTACTATTTATGTGCACGCAGATGGACCCATCCCATCATCCGGCACGGTCGCTTACTCTGCTTGTACGAGGGCAATGGCGGCGGCTCAACTCCTCTCCTGCCCATCTGGTTCCCCCCAAATCTATCGAATCCCTAACGCCTCTACCTTCCACTCTAAACGCTTCCCCCGATTCCCGGCTCGCTCCCGTTCTAGAACCCTAACATTGCAGGCTAGCGCCTCTCGAATCCCCCCTGCCGCGGCCTCCTCTGCTGCTGCTGCTGCCCCCGCAGCGGCGGCGGGTTTCCGCCACTGTTTCTCCAAGGGCGAGGATGGGTTCCTCTACTGTGAGGGCGTCCGCGTCGAAGATGTTATGGAGGCGGTGGAGAGGAGCCCCTTCTACCTCTACAGTAAGGATCAGATCACGAGGAACTTTGAGGCTTACAAGGCGGCCCTTGAGGGATTGAAGTCCGTCGTTGGGTACGCCATCAAGGCTAATAACAATCTCAAGATCTTGGAGCACCTCAAGGGCTTGGGTTGCGGTGCTGTGCTCGTCAGTGGGAACGAGCTCAGGCTTGCCTTGCGAGCCGGATTTGATCCCACCAGGTGAACATGATACCTACTCGCTTGTACCTGCATTTTCTTTGCATTATCGGAAGAAGTGGAAGAAAGAGCAAGAAGCTTCATCTTTTGTGTTTCTTATGTTGACCCTGTTGCTGTTCATTCAACGTATTAAATTAGTTTAGCAGTTGTGGTTGTTTTAAGGAAACGAAAGATTGAGCATCGAGGAATAGGAGGTTGTTATTACACAATGCAGGCTGAAAGTTGGTCGAAAGATGATCATTTTTGTGGGACATAGGTTTGCCATTGGTGCTGATTCAAAATGTGAGAATGACAGCAAATGAGACTGTGAAGTAATATCATGTGCATGTTGTTAGTCATGAAGACATAAGTGTGTGCAACTGTATGAATCAACTGGTGGTTGTTTCTATGTGGTATCCTGGTAGTCCTGGTTTTTGGTTGTAAGAATGTATAATTTGATATATTGCTTTACTTTTATCGAATTCTAGTGTCTTACTTCTTAAGGCTACATCCCTGATAACCAGGTTTTTCACAAAGGCATATATTTTGGCTTTTTCTCCCCTCTCTTCCTTGGGGACTCTGGCGTCGGGCCCTCAGGGAATGTGCCATGCTGGTTTTTCAGTAAATTGTCCAGATGCCTGTGATGACAGGAGTCATTTACACGTGAGCTCTGTTGATATGTGGTTGACAATGTACCACCTAACTTTGTTATTTTTTATGGCTTTAATGTGGATGGCAGTTGGAGTTTTCATATGCAGTGGTAATTTGTGTATGGCTATGATAATTTGTTCATTGTTTGTAATGCGACCATATCATCAATAAGGTTCTTTTTTATGCTACGAGTGTATATCAGTAGGCAACCATCCTTATCAGGTGGGATATATACTGTAGATGAGGGCTATATACAAGCTTTATATTGTGCTGGGTCATGCTTTAAAATTTTTATTTGCAGGATTTGGTTAACTTCGTTATGCTTTATGTGAATATGTTTTCCTTCTGTTTTCAATTTGCAAATTGGATGGTTGATTCATCCATGCGAGTTTAATCTTCTTATTTGGTATTTTGAAGATCAGGTGTATATTCAATGGAAATGGGAAGCTGTTGGAGGACCTTGTTTTAGCTGCTGAAAAAGGAGTTTTTGTGAATGTGGATAGTGAGTTTGACTTGGAAAACATTGTGACCGCAGCAAGAGTCGTAGGAAAGAGAGTCCCTGTTCTGCTCAGGATTAACCCAGATGTAGATCCACAGGTGTGGTGGTTATAATCCATTTGGTTCTATTAGATATTACAAAGTCATCTTGTTAGTATCACTTTAGTTTATTTGTTGTTTATGCGCCAGTAAGCTAGCGTTATCCCAGACGCACACTGGGTTTTATCTTTGTAAGTTTTGATGCCTAATATTATTTAACAAATGTAACTGCACATCTTTGAAACCTTCTCTGACCTTCCTGTGAGCTTATGAGCTCATGCTAATCTTCCCTTAATATTTAGCCCTGTTGACAGATTGATGCACCATTTGTGGCTTGGAGTATCATATTTCAGTTGGTATATTCATTTTATGCTGCCCAACCAATCTTTTGGATATAATTTGCTTTTTGTGGTGGTTGATTCTTTTAATATGCACATTCAATCCTTAGTTTTACTTCTGATTTGTTGAGTTTTAGATGTACCTTTTACTACTCTCTCATAAAAGCAATTCTTTTCAATTTTCTTTGCCTCTATCCCTTTAAGATATTGAAGTGGTCTCTGGGAAAATGCAAGCATATGCAAATTCCTGTCTTGCTTCTTCATCCTTTTGGTGTTAAGAATATGATCAAACCATTATGAAGCTTTCATCAAGCAATCTATGATCATCTCCTGAATAAAATGACATGGTTAAATCTGATTCTTAATATAGGCTTCACCATGTGTATTCACAATACATTCAGTCCTTGCAGATGCCACTCGCGTGCAATAATATATGCTGTTAGTATTCAGATTCATCCATGAAATCATTAGTTTCTTTGTGATCTTTTGTATATGGGACACATGATAGAAAAGCTAAGGAACATATTGAGTCTAATTGATCATTCCTGTTCAAGTGGGTGAATTAAGTTTCATCCTGATACTTCTTAAGAAAAATGGACTAGCACCTTGACATCGCTGCATAGAATCATTTTGAATCACTTTTCTGTGACCTCACATATCCTAATCATGAATATGATTGTCCATCTCTACTTTGGATACTAAAGTTAGATAACTGCTCCATTTGCATTATTGTATCATAGTCTTGGATTACTTTGGACCTAAAGATTCTTTATCATTTTCATGCAGGTCCATCCTTATGTTGCCACCGGAAACAAGACTTCCAAGTTTGGTATCCGAAATGAAAAACTGCAGTGGTTCCTTGATGCTGTCAAGACACATTCAAGTGAAATCGATCTTGTAGGAGTCCACTGTCATCTTGGATCAACTATTACCAAGGTACTTGATTATTCATTGACACATTCTCCTAAATTTCTTTTTTTTTAACTACTCTTAAAAATCCTTTCAAACATGTTAGTTAACGCTGAAGATTTGTACAAAAGCAACTGTTTTATTTTAGAATTGCAGAAATACCATTGACGAGCAAAGCCAAACACACCCTTAATCACTCTCATTGTTAGTACTGTATGTAAAAATTTCTTTTTTCATCAAATACTTGAATTAAAATCAGTTTAAGCATGTGAACGAAAGTGGATTCTGGCGGCAGTACCTCTACAATAGAGGAACATGTAAAGCCCATGACGGAGACCAATGAATATTGTAATTGGGACGTGCACCTGCTATGGTTGTTAAGTTTACTCTGTTCCAGTTGAGAGGCACAATTTATCTGTGAATCTTATATTGAGATATTTGATGGTATTATATATTGGGATGTCATATGAAATTAGAGTTGCATTTTTGTTCACTTTTTACCGTCAAGGTGCTGAACTTACTATGATTTTATATTGTGATATTTAATTATGCTACTCATCTTCCTTGATCTCTTACTAACACAAAGAAGAATACTGAAGGTTATATTCATTTCTCTAACACTAGGAGTGTTTAACAAAATCAGAAGTTTGAGCTATCTTGCATGCCTATAAAAATCTTAACCATAAAACTCCAAATGTTAGTTTAGTGCTGTCCAGGGTTGCAGCAATTATGAACATTCTTTAGTTTCATGTCAGGTTTTGAAATTTTGATTTATACTCAGGAAAAGTGACTATGGAATATAAGGAACATAATTATGCTAGATATGAAGAAGTACATAATTTTCTGATATGCTTGTGAACATCTGATCTTTTAGTTTTGCATATGGTACCCTATCATCTATAAACAATGACTAGTTTCAATAAAAAAAAATCATTTGTTAAGCTATCACTTACAAAACAAATTAAATATTTTTAATTAATCTCTCACTTGCAAAGATCAAGATTCAAGAGTATAACACTAAGGATGATATGTTAACCTGTTGATTGAGGAGTTTACATTCGATTTGAAGCTGGCCAGTGTTCTGCAGAACAATTAAAACTGACTTAAACTAGTCAATTTTTTGTTGGAAGCACTAAATTGATGGAAAACGATTCTTTCAATGGAAAATGGTAAAACTTGAATAATCTTTTTTCACATATGTTCTGTGAATTTTTCTTGGCTTTTGGGAACTGATTACTTGCCTTTCTGTCTCAATTCATATGATATTGAACTTTTGCTTCTCATACATTCTGTGAATTTTATTTGATTTTGGTCAATAACATTTACATGGCGCATCAGCATCTTTTGCATTATTAGGCCATCTCTTAATTCCCTCTTTTTGTTTTTGTAATCATGTCTGGTGCCTTTTTTTTTCTTTCATCCCCCCTTTGGCTGGAGATAATCAGTTAATTAAATAATAAGTATCATTGGTTAGCTTGCTTTGTAAGCAAACTTCTAAGATCTGGTCAGATGCATTTGGCTTTTCAAAGAAAGATAATATATTATGTTATCTGATCTATCTGAATGACTAGCAAATGAATGCCATGCATGAAGAATCATATATTGATGGTCTAAGTTGTTAAGGTTTTACCTTGTCTATCTTAGGTGGATATATTTAGAGATGCTGCGATTCTAATGGTGAATTTCATTGACCAAATTCGAGCACAAGGCTTCCAGTTGGAGTACTTGAATATTGGTGGTGGTCTAGGAATTGACTACCATCATACTGGTGCAGTCCTTCCAACACCACTGGATCTCATAAACACTGTAAGCTAAACATATTTAGTTTCTCTCTCAAAATGTGCCTTGTCACTTTTTTAGTTTGCATATTCAACAGCAATCAAGCCCGTTATGAATTTAATATCTTGCCTTTGTGCATGTAACTTTTACTTTTTATCTTGGCCCAGAGTGTCCACTTATAAACATTCTGGTCTTGATGCTAAAATGTACTATTTGCTAATTGAAATGCATTCTCGTATGTTCTATTGTACTTCCTTTGCTGTCTGCAAGACCTTGGCTTTGGGCATTTGGTTTATCAATTACTAATTTTAGTGTATCATTGTAGGTGAGAGAGTTGGTACTTTCTCGGAATCTTACTCTGATCATTGAACCTGGAAGATCACTTATTGCCAATACTTGCTGCTTAGTTAACAGGGTAACTGGTGTTAAAACCAATGGCACAAAAAATTTTATAGTGATTGATGGCAGCATGGCGGAGCTCATCCGACCGAGTCTCTATGGAGCATACCAGGTAATACATGCAAGATGCCTGAATAGGGGTACTATCCTGTCATCATCAATTTCCTTCTTTATGGTTTGATAAACTTCTCGGCAGGATTCTTAAGGCATTCTTTGCTCAGTCTGAAACATGCTGATACTGCATTGACAAAGCTTTTATATTTTCATCCTTTTAGAGGAAAAGCAGTTGGATGTCTTTAGCCTTCAAGCATTTTGGCTTTATTACAGTAATAAATATTAATACTGCACCTTTTTCTATCCATTTGTCACTAGATGAAGTTTTGTTTTATGCTAACTACCTTTCATCATTCAGTTATATCTTTGAGAACAGAAACTTAATGTTACATTCATGGTTTGCAATACCGGTCCATACCGCCCGGTATGGGCGGTACGTACCGGTCCGACAGGCTTCCGGTATGTGGACCGTATGTTACCGGTCCGGTACTGTAGCAGTACTGTAGCAGTGTGCGCTGGTACAGTGCTCGGCACGTCTGAATATACCGCTCGGTACACCTGGGTGTACCGAGCGGTATACCGTACCATACCGGTACCGAGCCCAGGTCGAAACTCCGGTACGATACGGTATTACGAACCTTGATTACATTTATGTGTACACGTTTTGTGGAGGATTTTCTCATACCTAATTTATGGCTTATCTTTTTTTTTTTCTTATTCGTTTTGGACTTGCAGATACACTTTTTTATCCATTGTACATATGTTTCACAAGTCCTTTAGCACTGTGCTGAGTTAACCTTAATATGTAAACAAAACCTACTTTAAGAAAGTGATAAGCTTTTTATGACACTATTATGTCTCACACCTGCATAATAAAAGAAAAGATGTTTGAGATGGAACACTTTCTTTTCTGGCTGATAAATTGCCTCCTGTACATAATGTTTCAGCACATAGAGCTGGTTTCTCCGCCTCTACCCAATGCTGAAACTTCAACCTTCGATGTTGTGGGGCCTGTATGTGAGTCTGCAGACTTTCTGGGGAAAGATAGAGAGCTTCCTACACCAGCTAAGGTTAGCTATTTTTCATATCATTTAGTGGTAGTTTGGCTTTTTTGGTTGTCGCTGACATGGAAGAAAATTCTCAGGGAGCTGGTTTAGTTGTTCACGATGCTGGTGCATATTGTATGAGCATGGCCTCAACCTATAACCTTAAGATGCGACCTCCAGAATATTGGGTATGAGTTCAGTTTTGCCCACTGTTAAACTGTCACATCCTCTTTCCTAGATTACTTCATCAGATATAGGCAGGTTTGTGATTGTTAATCTCAGTACATGGCATTTCTGTAGGTGGACGATGGCTCTGTGGTGAAGATTAGGCATGGGGAAACGATTGAGGATTTCGTGAAGTTCTTTGATGGGCTGTAATCTTCAGTCAAAGATTTGCTTGCAATGCATCAATAGGTTGCCTGTGCACTCGTTGGATCCACGACTTGGATTGCATTACAGTTTATCAGTTAAGCACGTTACATATTCTCAACAGAGACATTCAACACGGTGTATTGCGTCGTCAACTCAGTTTCTCTGATGTATCGTTGCAAGCAACAGAAGGTAAGATAAATAAGTGGGAAAAATAACAGAAATTTATGTCAGTTGGTTTGATGTTTGTAGTTGCATTTTTGTCGAGATCGTGATGTTTTGGGCACGTTTGGATCGGTGAGTTATATTTCAGTAAAATACATTGGTGATTTATAAGTTGATCTTTATATTTAAGTGATTTGTTTCATCACGGTTTTTATGCCTTCTTATACTGCTCGTTCTTCGTGAGTACGTGTGGTTGACAAGCTATATAACATGTTTTGATGCAATCATCGACTATTATCCATTGATCTTGCTTAGCTTACTCGATCACTAAGCATTATGACACTGCGTGCATGCCGCTGCTGAATGAAAACAATCGAGAGAGAGAGAAGCATTTCTGAGTCGACAATATCCCACAGTAGTAGTATTAGATATATGTTTATTTGATATCCTTATATAATCAAAATCAAACGATCGCGACGGGAGTGATCTCGGGCGGTACGCTCGAGGAGTGGAATGCCAACAGCATCGATCGGCATGTCATTCGCTTCCTAAGTCGTCCAAACATGCGTTCTCGATATATATGTGTTCTAAACTGGCGGTTCCCTTCGACTCGCCGTGTGTGAGGCAACTGGGCGGAGGAAGAAGGTGGTTCTTCTTCTTCGTGGAGTCCACGCTCGAGAGGAATTGTAAAGCTGTTGGGCTTCTTCCCCCGGCAGAAAGAGGTAACCCTAATCTGATCTTTTGCCTCTTCCGCTGCTGCCTCAGGTTTTATGTATGTTCTGGATGATTCCCTTCGATCTCTTCTTCGTATCTTTAAATGACAAGCGCAAGAAGAGGAACCTCTGATTCAAATGCTTCATATACATCATCGTCGTTGTTATTGTGGTCCAAATTCTTGGGTCAAAAACAAGAAAAGGGAAGAAATGCTTCGCATACATCATCGTCCGCCAGATTCAACTCACACCGAGTCGAACCAGAGTCGAGCTAATTTGGTTCTCTGGTTCGATTAAACCAGATGAGGACGGTCTCCCGCTCAACCCACCCAAACCCCCTCTCCCTCCCAACGCAGCGACGGCGAAACAGTCTCTGGCGAGCTCTTGTTGCTGCGGCGTTTCCCTCGGCGAACGGCTGCTGCTGCGTCTTCTACTCCATCGGCGAACGGCGGCGGCATCTTTCCCTCCTGGTTTCTCTCTCCTCTCACTTTCTCCTCCCCCTCGTCCTCCTCCTCCTTCGCCGCACATTCCCTTCGCCCTCCTCCCTCTTCCCCCGTTCATCGTAGCCCCCCCTTCCCTGATCCCTCTTCCCCCTTTCGTCGCAGCTCCCCCCCTCGCCGTCACCATCCTCCCCTCCCTTCTCTTCCCTCTTCGCCCCTTCATAGCAGCCCCCTGCCCCCGCTCCCTCCCCCGCCGACTCCGACAGCCACCCTCACCATCCTCGGACTCCTCCTTCGACCCTTAAGGACCCCTCTCCCCCCTTCCCCCTCTCTCCACTCCCCTCCCCCTCCTGATAGCTACATGCTGCCCTCCCAACCAACAGTCAGCAGCATGCCCCCCTCTCTTCTCCTTCAGTGTTTCGTTCTCTTTCTCTTTTAATCATGTAATGTTAATCATTGTTAATAATGGTCTATAGTCTACGTATCTGATGATCATTGACTTTCTTGAGGGAAATCGTTGTATATTAAAGGTTAATATTCTTTTATTTTGTCATTTTTATTATTATATTTGGACAATATAGTACTTTGATACTTTAAATGAATGTAATTTGATGTTTTGGTGGTTATATTTGAAATATAAAGTGATATAAAACTCATGTAATTTCTCATTTTTATTTTAGTGCTCATATTTCTTCTTAATTATATTTTTAAAATTTTAATATTTATAAGCATCTCACTTCACTCCGATGAGTGCCGAACACCTTGGCACCTTTTACTACAACTTAGTATTATTATATTGTCAAGCTTGATGTCACTCTTAGGGTTTTCTTTGCCATGTCAGTGCTTATTCCAAGTTTTTGTTGAGTTGGTAGTGGGTTTTAAAGTTTTTGTTAGGTATTAGTGACTCGCGATCATAGTTTTTCTGATTGAGAATAGCTTTCAATTCAGATGTTGACAGTCAGGAAGTTCCACCAAGGGGCATTTCCTTTCAGGGTTTTCTCAAAACAGACACGTTAAGTACAATCGGTTCCAAATTTCTGCATTCAACAATTAATGTTGCATTGATACTGTGAACCTCATTCTATCCTCTCCATTCTTGTTTCCTGATTTGTGCATATGTTTTATCTCATTATTATTATGTTCGTCAACTACCTCAAAGCACTTTTCATTCTGCACTTAACCCTATTATCAACTTCAGGTGACATCTATTTAACTAGAATTAGTTGGTTTGGCCTTGATGTACTGGGAAGTTGTCAACTAGAGATTGGAGCTTTCGCCAAAGTCACGAGGAGAACCTATTTTCATAGACTTGCGCATATGGCTACTGACATTTATCAGAATGGTTCAAATGGTAATGCACAACATGATCCTCAAAGGACCTATCAAGTGGTTGTTGCTGCTACTCGAGATATGGGTATTGGGAAAGATGGGAATCTGCCTTGGAAGCTCCCGTCAGACCTTAAATTTTTTAAGGAAGTCACAATGACCACTTCAGATCCCTCAAAGAGGAATGCGGTGATAATGGGTAGGAAGACATGGGAAAGTATTCCACCACGGAACAGGCCTCTCCCTGGTCGATTGAATGTCGTGCTGACTCGCTCTGGAAGTTTTGATATTGCAACAGCTGAGAATATCCTTATGTGTGGAAGCTTGAATTCTGCCTTAGAGCTACTAGCAGCCACCCCTTATTGTTTGTCTATTGAGAGAGTGTTTGTCATAGGTGGTGGTCAGGTGCTAAGGTAATTTTTTTTTCTTTGCACATTAAAAGAATTCTGTATCTTTCTAGAACATTTGATTTACAGTCCTTGCTACAGGGAAGCGCTTAATGCGCCTGGATGTGAAGCCATTCATTTAACAGATATTGAGACATCCTTCCAATGTGATACGTTCATCCCTCCAGTAGATTGTTCTGTATTTCGGCCATGGTACTCATCCTTTCCATTGTTGGAGAACAGCATTAGGTATTCTTTTGTGACATATGTTCGTGTACAAAGCTCAGGTACTGAGCCTCACGCTACACGTGATGGGGAAGTGGTAGATTGTAAGTCAATCAAAGATAAGTTTAAGGTTGAGAGGTTCCTGTTTCTACCTAAGCTTATTTATGAAAGACATGAAGAATATGCATATCTTAGGCTTGTCAAGGATATCATTGCAAATGGTGCTAGAAAGAATGATAGAACAGGGACTGGGACACTATCTAAATTTGGTTGTCAGGTATTTTGTCTGCATCTATTCTCTTTTACATCACCTGCCAATACTCTATTCCCTTTACGGCCATACAAGAATCCTAACCAGTTGTACCCTATAGATGCGGTTTAATTTGCGGAGATCTTTTCCATTGCTCACAACCAAGGTACGAATCATTCTAACTCATTCCTTGATTCCAATTTGTTTTAGGATATGCCAGTGCTTATCATTTCAAAATTTGAACTATTGACTAATTCAACTGTTGGACTTGTATAATATTTTGATTTGGTTAAGGGAAAGCAAATATTATTAATAATTACCTCTTCAAAATGATATTGCATGGAATTTTTGTAATGCACAATTTGTCCCAAGAGAATTCTTGTATAATTTGAAATAGTTTTGTATTGTCATTTCTATATGTGAAACCTCACAAAGTTCAAAAAAACAGATAAGACCTATACCACCAGTAAAATAACTTTTTTTTTTTCTTTGATGATGTGTTCAATTCTACTAATAGTAAAAAAAATAATCAATTGCATTTTCCTTTCTGTTTGGTTCTAGATGATATGTTATTGATTCTGATTGACAATCGGCATATGTTTTTCTCTCAGAGAGTTTTTTGGCGAGGTGTCGTTGAAGAACTCTTGTGGTTTATTAGTGGTTCAACAAATGCAAAGGTGCTGTAAATTAATTACTGCATCAAGAAGAGTTTGTCTTATCTTTGTACATTTACACTAGTATGGTATTGCTACCATAACTTAATTCTTGATCTGGATTATCTTAATAAAAAATTCCTTGCACCAAACAGATTAGGTTCTATTGTTCATGAAGTAAAAGTACATAAAACTTATTGTTAAATAGAAAATTGATCATGCTATTTGACCCATATACATAGGCAACAATATTTTTCCTCTTTATTGTTTCATCTTTTGTAAGTTAACAATTTGCAACTGTAATAAACGAAGAGAAAGTAAGTGAAGGAGTTAATTTGCTTGATGGAGCAGAGCAATTAGAATCTGTTTATTAGCTGCAGTACATGTCAAGATCAGGTGAAATGGGTCTAGATTGGAGATCAGAAAAATCAGTTTGATGTAAGTTACGTGTTTGCTGACCTTTAACACTGGCAAATTGCTTCCTATTACCTCCTGGTGAAAGACAAATAGAGCATGGAGATCCTCATTGAAGTACCGTTGTCGCAGATGCTGCCTGGACTACCCATCTAGACCATTTGGCCACTTCCATCATCTACATGTCTGACATTTTGAGTTTCAGACCAAGCAACAACTCTAGCACCTAGATAGGGCATATGAAGCTAACTAGGCCCCTAAGGCCTACTCTCTTTTCTTTCTAAAGCAAACTCTTGTTACAAACACTTTTTACTGGTTGAGGGTAATAGAATTTGACTCAAAAGAGAGACAATATGAAAATATATATAATTTTGAGTAATGTAGCAAGTTCAAGTAGTTTTTGATAACAAGCTAGAGGCCAAAGAAGTTGTTTCATCAAAACACACCTGCAAAAGAAATATGAGATGAAATTTACTTAGCAACAGGATACTAACTAGAATGTCTATTATGAAACAATGGATGTTGATAGTCCAATATGAACTAGTGGATGTTAGGAACATTTTAGGAATTTTGAGAATTAATTCAAGATGACTGAATAATGCATAACATATGTGTTTTTGTGAACTCATGAATTATACAAAACGTTTGCACTTTATTTTTATATGCATATATAAATCTATACATGAATTTACTTAGGTTCATTCATGAAAATTTTAGTTTCATAGTAAATTTTGCTATGAATTTACTCTTTTATCCTTTCAGGTTTACTTTTTAGCTAGTTAGAATATCATTCTGCTCAGTATTCTGTTTGCAAATTGGTGTCTGCAAGCATTACTGTTAACTAACTCTGGTTCAACCATCCTTCAGATGTTCCCTTCTGTTGTTATGATCCTTTTTCTGCTGTAAATTTTTCCATTCAAACACTGTTGGTTCCCATTGATGTAGCATGGTTTTGATTGTCTACTTTTACCTTCTGTGCTATGCTGAAACGTAGTTTTCGCTTTTGACCTTGAATAGTTCCTACTAATGGAGCTTTTATCTTCACAGGTTTTGCAGGGAAAAGGCATTCATATATGGGATGGCAATGCATCAAGAGAATACCTTGACAGGCATGGATTTGTAATGCTACTTTGCCTAGATAATTCTCAAGTTTTCAACCTTGCAAATATGATACCTTCATATCTCTGTTTTCAGTGTTGGCTTAACTCACAGGGAGGAAGGAGATCTAGGGCCTGTTTATGGGTTTCAATGGAGGCACTTTGGTGCTGAGTAGGATATCGATCTGAAAATCTGCATAATTATTTATATCTATTTTCTTGCTAGTTTTTCTAACAAAGCGTATATTCTATAGGTACACTGACATGCATGCTGACTATACTGGGGAAGGATTTGATCAATTATCAGCCATAATAGACAAAATTAAGAATGATCCAGATGATCGCCGAATGATTCTTTCAGCTTGGAATCCCTCAGATCTCAAGAAAATGGCTCTTCCTCCTTGTCATATGTTCGCACAAGTTAGTGATCGTTTGACTATTGACAGTTACTGAATTTGTTATGTACAATGCCCCATTTTGGTGGTCAGACTTAGTTGTCTGGGAGTAATCATTTGAAGCATTAATCAAGTACCTGCCAACATGCTTATGCATATTCATAAGTCCTCATCTACTTGTATTAATTGATGTGGTCTCACAGACTTATTATGTGTCCACACATAAGTACTCTTTATCTTTCATCCTGATCCTTAAGTTGGAGTTATTCCTTTTAAAAAAATTAAATTGGAACCAAAGATCGGTAATCTAGATTATATATCTGTTAATTTGCTGACATGATTGGAACCAAAGATGACATGATTATAAAATCAGTTAATTTGCCAGATATGCTCATATTCCTTTGCAGTGGTGACGGAAATTATTATCTACAC